GGGTGGGGTGCTCCCTGGGGGCGTGGTCCCTAGAAGCAAGGATTTGGAGGTGGGTGAACTGAATGACTGGTCTCCATGGTGTGGGGTGCCGTCACCCCGCGCACACCTTCTCACCCTCACCTGTATCTCATCGGCGATCTCACTTCTGGCATTTGCACATCACTTTATTAGTTTTTCTTGACATAGACACGCGGAGGGACGCTTTTGTTACATTCAGAGTATATGCAAGTCATATATATAAGCACACTACAAGTAAGCTTTCTGAAAACGAAGTAAGTCCATCCAGTGTTTTTTCTGTAATAAAAAAAAGGATTACCTTTCTAAGGTTTCAATGATAATAGCTGATAGCTGCCCTTTATTTGGGGCTTCTTATGTACCAAAGTATTAGGGATTTCCTATTTATTCTCTTATGTATTAAGCACTTAAACTAGCTTCTTTATACTGGACGTATAGAAGGGGAGACCGAAGTAAACTAGCTTCTTTATACTGGACGTATAGAAGGGGAGACCGAAGTAAACTAGCTTCTTTATACTGGACGTATAGAAGGGGAGACCGAAGTAAACTAGCTTCTTTATACTGGACGTATAGAAGGGGAGACCGAAGTAAACTAGCTTCTTTATACTGGACGTATAGAAGGGGAGACCGAAGTAAACTAGCTTCTTTATACTGGACGTATAGAAGGGGAGACTGAAGTTCAAAGACTGATTAATATCTCTTCTTAGTGCCAGGCACCTCCAACTCCACATGCCTTTTCCCATCCCTGTCACATTCCCACGGCCAGAAAAATCAAGGAAAAACCGCGCACACAACCATTGTGGCTTTCCTGTCTTTTGGGGAATAATACCATCATTAACTCAGTTTACACTAGGAACCTGGAGTATACCTTGTCACATTCTCCCTACTTGTCCATAAATCTATCACCAAAAATCTTGCCAATTCTTTCTACACAATTCCTTCCTATTTTCTTTATTCCTGTTGCCACCACCCTATTCCATTCTGTCATCATTTCCCTACCTTTTCTATTGTTGGAGTCTCCACTCTGGCCCTCCTGACCCCTCCTGGTCCAGTCTGTTTACTCTGCAGCCAGAGTGAGTGATTGTTCTAATATGCAGATATGATTGTATTGCTGTTAAAACCCTTCAGAGGCAGCCCATTAGTTACCCCAAGAATAAAACCCAGCAACCTGAACTTGGCTTACAATGGCCTTCAGACAGTCCTGTCTGCTTTACCAGCCTGTTACAGTTCTCTCCCAATTCCTTCAACTGAACACAATCTCTTTTGTTCTTAACTATGCAGTTCCCTTTGCCTCCATCACTCTTTTCCCCCTCTTTGCCTATCCAGCTTCCATTCATCCTCCAGGCTTCAGCTTAAATATATTTTCCTATCTCACCTGGATGCCAGCATAGCTCTATTTGTAAGACTCACCACCCTACTTTTGTTGAGATCTGTGGTCCTGTCTGCATTGGAGCATCTGTGATGGCAAGGACGATGAGAGATTTGTGCAGGATTATAAAACCTGATGCAGGTGCTCAGTGTCAAACTGTTGAAAGAATAAAGGAATAAGTTGCTATTGTCCTGTCATGGTGATTAGAACTATTTTGAATTAATTCTGCCTTTTGATAATAAATGTCATTCTCAATTGTTTCTGTTTTTGAATATAGTTTGAGAGAGCCGAGGAGACTGGGAGTGAAGCCAGGCTGCGTTGGGGTGCCCAGCATGGATGGCTACTCAACCCTGAGAGTGATTGGGGAGGGCTCCTTTGGCAGAGTCCTTTTGGTTCAGCAGGAAAGCAGTAGTGAGATGTTTGCCATGAAGGAAATAAGGCTTTCCAAGGTCACTGCTAAAGAAATTAGTTCATGTTGAAAGTGTACATGCAATTTGTATAAGAGAACAATTTCTTGAGATTTAACATGGAATTGCTCCTCAGTGCAAAATATGTAATGGGTTTGTTTACTCACCAGCTTTACAAGGTCTTGATATATTTTATGTGGTTCTTAGGCTATTGTAATTAACAAAAAGGAAGAAAAATAGTCAAAGGTGACTGTCGCTGTTTATCTCAATGAGAATAATTTGTAATAATTTCTAATTTTGTATACCTAAGGGTGTAGGGAGTCTTTGCCAAAAACAACTTAGGTGCAATATTGATGAAAAAGGAACATAAAAATACAATGAAGAGCAAAGACCTAAAAATGCTAACTTTTGGTATCAGGGAACTTATTCTGTGGTTCAGTTTATAGGTTTTATTTCTCTGTATGATGAGGAAGGTGATGATCTATCACTATATATCACTGTGTATCATAGTTGTATATGAAAGAATCCAGCCATGGATCCTGCTTAATACTGTTTTGATCAATTTTTTAAAAATACATTTTAATAAAATCCCAAAGTGCTATTTCCCCCCACACTGCATTCTTGACCTGATTTACTGATTCTCAAACTTGAGTGGGCATCAGAATCAACTGGAGGGTTTGTTAAAATGACAGTGGCTGAGCCTTACCCCCCAGTTTCTGCTTGAGGAGGTGTGGGTGGGCCCGTGAATTTGCATTTTTAACGTTACCAGTTAGGATTGATGTTGCTGGTTTGAGAACCCTTGTTTCTTAATTGTAAGGTAAATCATTTAGTACTTCATCCTCATAGAGTAAGTTAGGGGATAAACAGTTTTGGAAACTTTCTTTGCATATGGTCTTTGTGCATCTATGCTGTAGTAATACACCAGTGTATTCTTTTTCTTTTGGGCCAGTGGACAAAGTAATGCAGACAGTTAAAACATGAAATCTCTAATTTTGCTTTAAGGATATACTATTGTTGTTAATGGCATACTGGCTCTCCAAATCAGGTTATGCTTAGGCTGATGTTAAAACTAGTTACGTTCTATGCTTGTGTAAGGATATATCAGCTTAATCATGCAAAATATAGCCATAGTTGAAAAAAATCACCTCATGTTGTCTCTTAGAATTTGATAAACTTAAGTTGGGTCAAAGTGCAATGCTGTAAAACTGCATCTGGTATTGAAGTATCATATAAATTCTACTGTATTATTGTGAAGCTGTCTACTTTCAAATGAAGTATTACATTTACACTGATTTAAAATCTAGTCTTTCTCTGATACACAGAATTCTAGGAAGGAGGCTGTTCTGTTAGCCAAGATGAAACACCCCAATATTGTTGCCTTTAAAGAATCATTTGAAGGTAAATATGAATTCCTCTGGATACATGCATTTCTGAATTTGATTTATGGCCACAGTGCTTTTGTCAAGAATCTTACATTTGTTTTAGCTGAAGGACATCTCTATATTGTGATGGAATATTGTGATGGAGGGGACCTAATACAAAAGATTAAACATCAGAAAGGAAAGTTGTTTCCTGAAGATATGGTAAGAGACTGACTTACATGGTTTCCTCAAGATTTAGAAGCAACTTTTCTCATAAAATCTGTGTAAGTTAAAATAAAAGCATTGATATCTGTGATTACTTGACACTCTAATTAGAAAGGCCTCGTTTCTGTATCTGTGCTTACTGTTGTTAGGATGTAGCTGTCTGAGTTGTTTTCAGGAAGTAAAATAGATATAAGTTTATAAAATATCAAAGAATAAGACTTCCATGTTTAGAACATTTTCAAAATTGTGTTACTTGTCATATTTTGTACTAGTTAAAATTTTGATTTCTGTTATATTTAAACTTTAGATGCAGATGGATTTATTTTGTATTTCTAGATCATAAAAAGAGTGAAGGCCACATTTCTTTTTCTTGGGAGTACCTATTCTCAGTCTTTTTTCCTTCTAAAGTTTGGCATATTTCCTTAAGTCTAGTACTACTGCCTTTTTAATAGAAAATTGTATACTAATATTATTTGAATGAATTGACTAAGGAAACTAAATAAACAACTTTAATGGGGTTTAGTTTGTTTTAGGGTATAACATGTTATAAAACTGTATTGGTGTAAATATTTTTATTTAGGAGTTGTTTTGTTAAAAATATGGGTTTCATAAAAGGAGTTCAACCTTGCCTTCAAATGGATGAATCTCCATAGCAAAAAGAAAAAAATTAGTTTGACATTTAATTGTAGGCACCTGGAAATTCTGGGTGCTATTGACTGGGATTTATAAGCAGAATACTGACCTCAAAAGATTATTTACAATACAATTAAACCTATTAATGTTAATATAAGAATATTCTGAAAGAGGAAATGAAAATCTGATGTAGTGATTGTACTATAAAATTGTAGCATATTCATTTCTGAGTAGTAAACTACCTTTGTATGTGTATTTAAGAAATACTTGGCCTGGCCAGCATGGCTAAGTGGTTGAGCATCGACCTATGATCCAGGAAATTGTGGTTCGATTTCTGGTCAGGGCACATGCCGGGGTTGTGGGCTCAATCCCTGGTGAGGGGCGTGCAGGAGGCAGCCGATCAATAACTCTCTCATCATTGATGTTTCTATCTCTCTCTCTTCCTCTCCCTCCCTCTCTCGGAAATTAATAAAGATATGTTTAAAAAAAATAAAAAGAAAGAAAGAAATACTTATATTTGGTTGAATACAAGAAAAATATAGTGGGAGTTTTATTAAAATAAATTGCTATTTGGGTCACACATAAAATGATGAAACGGATTCACAGCTCTTCTGACTTCCTCCAGGCAACACTGAATCTTAGTTGAACTATGTCATTTTTAGGAGTTCTATATTTACATTATGCAAAACTAAGGCCTAAAGACCATTCTTTGGAGTTTTGGTTAACATGAACCAGTTTTTGCGTTCTTGCATGCTTTTTTCTTACAGATACTTAATTGGTTTACACAAATGTGCCTTGGAGTAAATCACATTCACAAGAAACGTGTGTTACACAGAGATATCAAATCCAAGGTAAGTGGAATACATTTTTGGGATTTAAAAAAAAAAACCCAAAACTATTTCATTTAGTCTTTTTTCAGTTTTATTCTATTTCCTTTTGGGACATTTTTATTTAGTTTAGAAATATTTGTCAACCTAATATTCATACTAGCCAAATAAGGTACTAATTTGTAATTAGTACTAATTTGAAAAAGTTATTAAATTTCTTTGGTATATGTTAATATATTTCAAGCTCTCTTAGTAACTGCTTATTAAGACCATATATTCTCAGATGGAAAATGACTGAGATCTGGGCCTGCCATATGGAGTTATACCAACACAGGTTCCCAGTCAGTTGATCAGGGTCTGCTGATACAACCTGGAGCTTGGTTGGTAGATTTCTAAGCAGTCGTCCTGAATTCCCAAGCTGGGGGATGTGTAGCTGTCAAGAGGCTATCTTGTCTTTTTGTGTTCCACTTGGAGACTCGGCTATCAGCATTTCCAGCATTTCTGTCCTTAATCTCCATCATCAGCAGGCTTTGAAAGACAGCTTCTCTGGACAGCTCTGCCTTATGTTTGAATGATGGAAGATATATAATCTGAGCTCTTCTTTTTTTGATACAGAATATCTTCCTCACCCAAAATGGAAAAGTAAAACTGGGAGATTTTGGATCTGCCCGTCTTCTCTCCAAGTATGTATATCTATTCTATAGTAGTGAGAGTAATCAAAACATCCTTTATTCAGGAATGCTCTGTACTCATTCTTTGCCTTTCTTTGGTTTTAGTCCCATGGCGTTTGCTTGTAGTTATGTGGGAACACCTTATTATGTGCCCCCGGAAATTTGGGAAAACATGCCTTATAACAATAAAAGGTAGGTGATGTACTTATTTGGTGCAAGGGTGAATGGTGACAGGCATTGTAGCCTACAAATGAAGTTTGGTTTTTAAAAAAATATATGTGAAACAAATCTGAATTCCTAGGCTTCTAGATAAAATCATAGTTTTCCAACTGCTGTAATAAGAGTTGAGAAGAGCTAAACATAAATGCTGAAAGAAAGGCTAGTCATTTCTAGGGACAGTGTGAATTATATCACTGGTTCTTAAACTTTGCTGTTCCCATTTTTAAAAGTTGCAAAGTATAGGTTGCAATCATACCAGTTAAATAAGAATGGGTGGGAAGCAGGCCTCAGTAATTTTTCCAGGATCACTAAGTGATTCCATTGTGCAGCAAAATTAAGGAACCACTGGATTATGTCATTGAGTTAATATTTACAGGACTAGGTAATAAGCACTTGACTGATAGGTTAATTGATTACAAGAAGATGGTATGAAAGCCTTGTGATTTAAAACTTAAAACTTTTTCTGAATATAAGTAATATGTGCCCATTGAATGAGTGGATGGGCAGGGGAACATTGGAAATATGGAGATATACAAGAAAGGAAATAACAATCACCCACTTTTTCACAGCTGTTAATAACATTTTGGAGTTTTTTTTCTTCGATTTATTTCCCTTCCACCCCCAAACCTAGTTTGTGTTCGCTGTATACAATTTGGTATCTTGTTTTTTTTCACTTTATATTAAATCATATTCATTTCATACCATTTTAAACTCTTCATAAATACTGTTAATGATTGCATAATATTTTACTGCATGGCTCTTCCAAAATTTACTTTACATTCCTTGGTTGTTTCCAATTTTCTCTTTCTTTTTTAAGGATAGTTTATTGATTTTTAGAGAGAAAGGAAGGGAGAAGAGAGAAACATCGATGGAAGAGCACAACATCAATCAGGTGCCACCCGCACGTCCCTTACTGGGGATCGAGCCTGCAACTCAGGCATGTGCCCTGACTGGGAATCGAACCAGCAACCTTTCAGTGCATGGCATGATGCCCAACCAGTTGAGCCACACTGGCCAGGGTGTTGTTTCCAATTTTCAATATCATAAACAGTGCTGTTATTAATGTACCTTTTGTGTATAAATATGCCATTGTTCTGTATCACATTCCTAGAATTAGAAACACCTAAGGCTCTTGCTACCTTCTGTCAAGTTGCTTTCTGAAAAGGGTATGAACATCCATACCAAATGGTTCCTTAAGAGTAAAATTGGCGACAAAACAGCTATAAAGGGACTTACCAAGACAATTGGGAAAATTTCAATTTTGCAAAAATATTAGAGTATATTATTGAACTCAGGTTAAATTTCTTGGATGTGATAATGGCATTGTGTTTAGGAGGGAGAGTGTCCTTGCTCTTAGGAGATACATGCTCATGTGTTTGGGGGTGGAGGGATGTCTGCAACTTTTTTTTCAAGAGCTTGAGATACAGATGGAGGAGGGAAACAGCACATAAACCTGGCAGATGTTAAGGATGGGAAACTAGGAAGGAGTACGTGGGCATTTATAACTTTTCTATAGGTTTCAAACTTTAAAATAAATAAAACTTGGGGGAAACGGTTGCTAAAAACCATTAGTTATAAAGAGTATCATCTGTAAAAAGTCTGGAGGATGACAGCTAGGAGGTGAGAATGATGAAGAGTGAATGTATAGAGCAAATTATAGAACTCTTCTGTTTGAAGAGCTCTTCTGTGGGAGAATGACTAGTCTTGTTCTCTTTGTTTTGGAATGTAGAGCTAACACAGGGGTGGAGAGAGTCCCCAGAAGACAGGTTCTGGCTTATGATAGGGAAGAACACTGTCCTTTAGAGCCATTCAGCAGGGGCATAAACTATGCTCAAGGTAGATTGCTGGCCATCAGGAGGTGTGATCAAAGGCCTGGTGCTATGCACAGATGGTCTGAGTGTAAGCTGCATGGATGACTTCTAAAGTCCTTTCAGCTGTGACAGTGGGAGTCCACAAAGATTCCTTCTTTCACCAACTACTGCTGAAATGACACCTGAACCACCCTGATTTGGAGCAGGTAGAGGTTGGGGAGCAGAGTTTATTGGGAGCATTACTGTTAGTAACTACCTAAGTATTAGATAAAAATTACCATATATTTTATTTTAATAGCTAGGAATTACTTGCAATATGTGTTCTTATTAAAGGTAATTTTTCATTTTTTAATATTGGAAAGTACATATATTTTCATATGATAATTCATAACCCACATTGCTTCTTTATGTTTTTAGTGACATCTGGTCTTTGGGATGCGTTCTGTATGAACTCTGTACCCTGAAGCATCCGGTAAGTGTGGCGGGCAAAATGGAAAGGCAGAAAGGCAGCCTCTCATCATATATGACCAAGTTATAAGTCATGTACCAAAGTCCAGCAGTTTGCTTCCATAGGATGAATTCATTATAAAAGTTTTCATGTTTCTATTGCTGTCATCTTTGCCTTGAGTCACTTTTGTAGCATATACTAATAGGACATTCACATTACTTAATTTTTTGTAGTTCTATACCTAGTTTCCCTCCCTTCCTTCCCCTCTCCCTTCTTTCTCTCTCTTTCCCCTCCCTGCCTCCCTCTCTTCCCTCCCTCCCTTCCTTTTTTCTTCTTTTTTTTTGGGCTATTGTTAATTTTTTTTTTATTTTGGCAAAATATATGTAACCTAAAATTTATCATTTTAACCATTTTTAAGTGTATAATTCAGTGGCATTAATTACTTCACAGTATTGTGCAACCATCACTACTATTTGCAAAACATTTCCATCATCCCAAACAGAAACTCTGTACTCATTAAACAATAGCTTCCCATTGTCCTCTCACCTAAGCCTTGGTAACCTCTAATCCACTTTCTGTCTCTATGAATTTGAATATTCTAGATATTTCATGTAAGTGGAATTATACAATATTTTTTTCTTTTATGTCTGGCTTCACAGAGCTTGAGGTTTTCAAGGTTCATCCATGTTGTAGCATCTATCAGAATTTCATTCCTTTTTATGACTGGATAATATTCCATTGTATGTTTACATTATATTTTGTTTATCCATTCATCTATTAATGGACATTTGGGTTCTTTCCACCTTTTGGCTATTGTGAGTAATCCTGCTATGAACACGAGTGTACAAGTATCTATTAGAATCCCTGTTTCCAACTGCTTTGGGTATATATCTAGGAGTGGAATTGCTGGGTCATATGGTAATTGTAAGTTTAGCTTTTTAAGGAACCACCACACTGTTTTATACGTATCTTTTTTTTAAAAATTTATCCTTATTGTTATATAGTACAGATGTCCCCCTTTTCCCCCCATTGATCCCCTTCACCCAGCATTCCCCCCCACCTAGGCCTTCTGCACACAATTTTCTGTGTCCATGGGTTATGTATATATGCATATAAGGTCTTTGATTTATCTCTCCTCCCTCACTCCCCCACCCCTGCCTTCCCTCTGAAATTCGTCAGTCTGTTCCATGCTTCTATGTCTCTGGATCTATTTTGTTCATCAGTTTATTTTGTTCATTAGATTCCACATATGAGTGAGATCATGTGATACTTGTCTTTCTCTGGCTGGCTTATTTCACTTAGCATAATACTCTTCAGGTCCATCCATACTGTCCGAGATCCTTCTTTTTTACAGCTGCGTAGTATTTCATGGTGTAAATGTCCCACGGCTTTTTTATACACTCAGCTACTGATGGGTACTTGGGCTGTTTTCAGATCTTAGCTATTGTAAATTGTGCTGCTATGAACATAGGGGTGCATAAATTCTTTCTGATTGGTGTTTTGGGTTTCTTAGGATATATTCCTAGAAATGGGATCACTGGGTCAAATGGCAATTCCATCTTTAATTTTTTGAGGAAACTCCATACTGTTTTCCATAGTGGCTGCACCAGTTTGCATTCCTGCCAGCAGTGTACATAGGCAGCAAAATCTCAGACATCTTTCATAGCAATATGTTTTCTGATACATCTCCTTGGGCTGCAGCAGAAGGAGGGCAGAGTAGACTAGTGCTGTGTGAAGAGAATCCAGGATTAGGGGCTCTAGGGATAGAGCTCTGATTCCTGTACTGAGTCATTTCCCCATTAATGCCTGTACTTATCTTTTTACAGTTAGACTTCACTTATTATGTAAGTTTCTTTTCTAACTGAATTTTTATGAGAAAATAGACTTTGCTCTATTATATATTTTTCAAGATATTTTAAAAAATAATTCAACAAAAAAGAGGTTAAATAACTTGCCCAGCTTGCTCAGCAGTTGTTTACTACACAGAACTGATCCCTGTTAGGTCTTAGCTTTGAATGGAAATAATTTCTGTTCTTTGGGCACAGATTAAAACTTGGATCTAGCAAGCATTTTCATAGATGTACTTGAGAGCACATAGAGCTTATGAGAGTGAATATTTGAGAAAAATCCTTCACCACTAGATGAAAGTAACTCAAAGTGAAGGCATGCACTGTTAATGAGAGGTTGTCTTCCTTGAATATAAGTAGCTTATAATGCTGTCTGCACAGTTTGGGAAACTTTAAAAAATATTGATGCGTAGGCCACACCAGACAAATAAAATCTCTGAGGGTATCCTGGGCGTTAGTATTTTTATTTTATTTTATTTTTAATTGAATTTATTGGGGTAACATCGGTTAATAAAATCATATAGGTTTCAGGTGTACACTTCTATAATACATCATCTGTATATTATATTGTGTGTTCACCACCCCCAGTCAAATCTCCTTCCATCACCATTTATCCCCCCTTTACCCTCTCCGACCTCCCACTACCCCCCTTTCCCTCTGTTAATCACCATACTGTTGTCTTTGAGGTTTTAGTTTGTTTTTTGCTTAATCCCTTCATCTTTTTCACCTAGCCTCCCTACCTCCTCCCCTCTGACAGCTGTCATTCTGTTCTCTGTATCTATTTTTATTTTGTCTGTTAGTTTATTTTGTTGATTAGATTCCATATCTAAGTGAAATCGTATGGTATATGCCTTTTTCTGACTGCGTTATTTTACTTGGCATAATACTCTCAAAGTCCATCCATGCTGTCACAAAGGGTAAGATTTTCTTCTTTTTTACAGCTCCATAATATTCCATTGTGTAAATGTACCACAGCTTTTTTATCCACTCATCTACTGGTGGGCACTCGGGCTGCTTCCAAATCTTGGCTGTTGTAAATAATGCTACAGTGAACATAGGGGTTCATGGATATTAGTATTTATTTTTATTTTTTATTTTTTTTTAAGTCTATTTTTATTGATTTCAAAGAGAGGAAAGGGAGAGAGAGAGAGATAGAAACATCAATGATGAGAGAGAGTCATTGATTGGCTGCCTCCTGCATGCCCCCTGCTGGGAATCAAGCCTGAAACCCTGGGTATGTACCCTGACGGGGAATCAAACCTTGATCTCTTGTATCATATGTCAGTGCTCAACCATTGAGCAACACCAGCTGGGTGGCGATTAATATTTTTAAAATAGTGATTCTAATGTGTGGCCCAAGTGGAGAACCACTGTTGTATACAAATAAAATTGCTTTTTAAATTCCATTGTCTTATTTATGATTATATTCTTTATTTTTCTGATTTTGTCTTTTTTGTAAATTTTCACATATATGTCTTATTTTTTCTAGCAAGAATAAATATAAAGGAGTATAGTGCCCTGAATATTTGGCATACAGTTTGTTCTTGCATCTGCTTTAAGGCAAACGTAGTTCTCAAGCCTTCAGAAAATGCAGAAAAACTCAGTAAAATAGTTAAAAACCTGAGGGACAGCAGATTCAATTTTATTTTTCATTACCTGAACTTTTCCTTTGCTATATGTTGATTTTTCCTTTTTTATATCTGCACTTGTATATTTTATTAATAGGGTAATGCTCTTCCAAGGCAGAATACCAACATGTTCTTACATAAGTATTATCAAGGCTGAATCTAATGTTAATTCTAATATATTTATTATACAATAAAAACTTCTAAAATGTTATTCTGGTCTGGCATTTTATATCCTACTCTATTCTCCAATTTTTTTTTTAAATCCTCACCCAAGGATATATTTTTATTGATTTTAGAGAGACAGGAAGGGAGGGAGAGAGAGAGAGAAACATCGATGTGAGAGAGAAACATTGATCAGTTGCCTCCCATATGTGCCCTGACGGGGAATCAAACCCTCATCCTTTTGATGTATGGGACAACGCTCCAACCAACTGAGCTACCTGGCCCGGGCATATTGTCAAATTTTAAAAGCTACTTTGACCACATGAAAGGTGAAAAGGATTTTACAGTAGATGTTTAAAACTGGAAAAGTCTAAAGTGCGTTTTGCCAGGAAGGAGGTCTGGTGATTTCTGGGGAGGAGTGAAGCAAACAAATACTACACTCATGTAAGCCTTTAGTGTCATTTGACTTTAAAAAATGTTGTATGTATGTATGGCTTTGATTTCTAAAATATATTAAAAATGTACATCTGTAGCCCTAGCTGGTTTGGCTCAGTGGTTATAGCGATGACCTGCAGACAGCGATGACCTGCGGGTTCGATTCTGGCCAAGGGCACGTACCTCGGTTGCAGGCTCGATCCCTAGCTCTGGTCAGGGTGTCTGTGGGAGGCAAGCAATCGATGTGTCTCTCTCACAGTGATGTTTCTCTCTCTCTCTACCCCTTCCACTCTCCATGAAAAGCAATGGAAAAAATATTCTTGGGTAAGGATTAAAAAAGTATATCTGCAAAAACATTGATTATAAATAATAATGTACCCATAGATGATGGCATTGATGGTAAAACTTTGTCTAGATGGGGAAGTCTTTTACTATTTAAGTTTTTTATTTTCTCCTGAACCACCATAATATTTTGAATACTATCTTAAGGCCACCTCTAGGAAGAAAAATCACCAGGCAGCAGATAACATTTATAAAACTAAAATAATTCATATGATTTCAGTTCAGCTGTTATATTCTTATTTGCATTCTCCTTCCGTGCATCTGCTTTTATAGTTGAATTTTACTTTTTAGTTTCAGGCAAATAGTTGGAAAAGTCTTATTCTCAAAATATGTCAGGGGTCCATGAGCCCACTGCCATCTCATTATTCCTACGAACTTCAGCATTTAATCAAGCAGATGTTTAAAAGGAATCCTTCTCATCGCCCCTCAGCTACCACGCTTCTCTCTAGAGGCACGTTAGCTCGGCTTATCCAGAAGTGCTTAACCCCAGAGGTATGTGACGTGTTGGATTTTCAAGTGTTTGTTATCTTTTAAACACAATTACATGTTATACATGCTTGTAAAAACTCAACTGTAGTTTTTATGAAGTGCATAAAAAACATTAAAAGTTAGCCGTGGCCGGTTTGGCTCAGTGGTTAGAGTGCCGGCCCTCTGACTGAAGGGTCTGGGTTTGATTCTGGCCAAGGGCATCTGTACCTCGGTTGCAGACTCAATCCCCGGCCCCGGTTGGGGCATGTGCAGGAGGCAATCACTTGATGTGTCTCTCTCACATCGGTGTTTCCCTCCCTCCCTCCCTCCCTCCCTCTTTCTCTCTCTCTCTATTTCCCTCCCTTTCACCCTTCCACTCTCTCTGAAAAAGCAATGGGAAAAATATTCTCAGATGAGGATTAAAAAAAAACACATTAAAAGTTAAAACTCCTTTTCCTCCCCTTCTCCCTTCCATAATGCTGTTTCCCAAGTATAATAACAGGTATAGTTTTGTATATCCTTTCAGGTCTTTTTCTTTTTTTAATTGATTTTTAGAGAGAGAGAGGAATGGGGTCGGGGGGAGAGGTTTGTTGTGTCATTTATTTATGTATTCATTGGTTGCTTCCTGTATGTGCCCTTACCAGAGATCAAACGCCCAACCTTGGCAAAGCAGGATGACACTCTAATCAAATGAGCTACCCGGCCAGGCCCAAGCTTTTTCTAGACACACATAAGTGCCTGTTTGTCCATGTGTCTAAATTATATGTATTTTTAAATGGCATTTTTACTTTTCAATGTTCAATATTATTTTGGGGAAGAATGTTGATAATTCAATGACATGGCAATGTCTAAAGAAAAGTTTATTGCATATTGTTAAATTCTCTGCTTTAAATTTTTAGATCATCGCAGAATATGGTAAGCAGGTATTAGAAGAAACCAAAAAATATACACATAGTACACCAAGAAAAAAAGGTAAGAATTTTGGAACGCTTTTTTGTTAAGTGATCTTTCTAAATGTAGTGTAACAAAAAAAGAAAAATGTAATTTTCAAGTTATTAGAGACGTTTTTCAGAGATACTCCTTAAATCAAAATTTTCTTTCTGTTACTTAAGTCATAATTCTGTACTGAATCTTATGTACTTAGTTTTCCAGGGATCAGAAAACTTAGTTTGGAGATTTTAGTGATGTAAAAATTGTTCGCTGTTTTATCCTTAGTACCATATTTAGTCTGGTTTGTTATGGGTAAGGTAGAAAGCTTCTGTGGGATAGCCTAGGAATATAACTGAAAAAAATACAATGTTAATCTTTTTAAAATTAATTAACTAAATTAATTAATGAATTTTATTTTTTTAAACTTTTTATTGTTGAGAGTATTACAGATGTTTCCCCCTCTTTACCCCCCCTTCCCCCTGCACCCGGATCCTGCCCTGCCCCAGGCCTTCACCACCCTATTTATTGTCTGTGGCCCTGGGTAATGCATGTATGCATGTAAGTTCTTTGGTTAATCTCTTCCCTACCCTCCCTTCCCACTTTCCTCTGAGATTTGTCAGGCTGTTCCATGTTTCCATGCCCCTGTTTCTATTTTATTCATCAGTTTATTTTGTTCATTAGATTCCTTATTTGTTTATTTTGATATTAAGATTCAGTTTTTGATAGATATGCATTTATTGCCATTATTCACATACTTTTTAATTTGTCTTTATTATTGAAAGTATTACAAATGTCTCCCTTTCCCCCCATTGATCCCCTCAACCCTGCACCCCTTCCCCCAGGCCTTCACCACACTATTGTCTGTGTTCATGGGTTATGCATATATGCATATAAGTTCTTAGGTTAATCTCTCCCCACCTACCCATCCCTGCCTTCCCTCTGAGATTCGTCAGCCTGTTCCGTGTTTCTGTGTCTCTGGATCTGTTTTGTTCATCGGTGTATTTTGTTCATTAGATTCCACATATGAGCAAGATCATGTGATACTTATCTTTCTCTGACTGGCTTATTTCACTTAGCGTAATACTCTCCAGGTCCCACCATGCTATCTCATAGGGTAAGGGATCTTTCTTTTTTATAACTGTATAGTATTCCATGGTCTAAATGCCTGAGAAGATGCTTGATATGATTTCAATCTTCTTGAACTTGTAAAGACATATTTTGTGTCCTGACATATGTTCTATCTTTGAGAATGTCCCATGTGCACTTGAGGAGAATGCCTATTCTGAAGCTTTGAGGGGAAAGGTTCTGTAAATGTCAATTAATCCATCTGATCTAGTGTGTCAGTTACAGTGTCTGTTGTCTTGTTGATTTTTAGTCTGGAAGGTCTATCCAGTAAAGTCAGTGGGTGTTAAAGTTCCCTACTATGAGTGTATTGCTGTCAATCTCACCTTTCAAGTCCTCCAAACGTTTTTCCCTCCCAGGCTATGTGTCTTTTATTCTGAGGTGGGTCTTTTGTAGATAGCTTATGTTTCGGTCTTATTATCTTTTCCTTTCAGCTACCCTATGTCTTTTGATTGGAGCATTTAATCCATTTATATTTAAGGTTATTTTTGATAAGTACTTATCTATTGCCATTTTATTTCTTTATGCCTATGTTTCTCATTCTCTCTGTTTCAACCTCTTATTACAGTAGTCCCTTTAACATTTCTTGCAGTGCTGGTTTGGTGGTGATAAACTCCTTTAGCCTTTTTTTNTTTTTTTTTTTTTTTGCCTGGGAAGAGCTTTACTTCACCATCTATTTTGAATGGTAGCCTTGCTGGATAGAGTAGTCTTGGTTTCAGATCTTTGTTTTGTGTGACCTTGAATATTTCATGCCATTCCCTTCTGGCCTGTAGAGTTTCTGATGAGAAATCAGCTGAGAGCCTTATGGGAGCTCCTTTGTAGGTAATGGATAAGATTCCCTCTTTGTCTTGAATTCTTGGCATTTTAATTATGATATTTCTGGGCATGGGCCTCTTTGGATTCTTCTTACTTCGGCGTCTCTGTGCCTCCTGAACTTGTGTGACTTTTTCCTTGACCAGGTTAGGGAAGTTTTCTGCCATTATTTCTTCAAACAAATTCTCTAACCCTTGCTTACTTTCTAGATCTTCTGGTACTCCTATGATGTGAATATTACTACATTCATGTTGTCTCACAGCTCCCTTAAAATGTCCTCCTGTTTTTTGTTTTTTCTTTTTGGTTCTCTGAGTGATTTTTTTCTACTGTTTTCTAATTCGCTGATCCAGTCTTCAGTTTCCCCTAATCTACTATTCATTCCTTTCAATATTTCTTTTTTTAAAATTTCTACTATCTCATTCTTAATTTCCTTCATAGTTTCCATTTCTTTTTTCATGCTGTTCTTCTCTCATCCTTGCAATAAGTATTCTGAACTCTATTTCTAATGGATTGCTTATCTCCATTTCACATAGCTCTTCTTCTGGAGATTTCTTTTGTTCCTTCATTTGGGGCTTGTATTGTTTTTCCTCCCCATTTTGGCTGCCTGTTTGGGTTTATTTCTATGTATTAATTAGATCTGCGAGGACTCCCAGTCTTTTGTATGGTCTCTGGTGCAGACCAGTGTCCGATTCTGTTTGTGCCTAGCCTTGAGTACCCTGTTTGAAGCTTTCCACACTTCACAGTTTGTGGTTCCCTCTGCTGGGATGGGTGTGTTTGGAAAGGACCAAGATGCACCCCAAGGTCTGCTTTTCCAAGTCCTGGGTTCAGAAGCAAATCAGGCAAAGGCTCAAAGCACCCAGAGGTTGATTGTTATTCAGTCTCTTAATGATCTTAGAAACTGCTCTAGAAACTACATAGGGTGGGGTGAGAGATTTTCTGGCAGGGTGGGGCAGTTGCTTCCCCCAAGGCAAAAGCTACTTGGAAGGTAAGTGTCTGCCTGAGAAAGATGTCCTCTGCAGCATGGGGGAATGACTCAGCACAGGAATCCAGATGGCAGCCCTCTGAGCTCTATCCCCCAATCCAATAACTCTGGATTCTCCTCACACAGCTCCAATCCACTGTGCCCTCCCTCTGCCAGAACCCAAGGTGAGTAGCTGCACATAAAACTTTGTGTGTTGGCTCTTTAAAAGGGTGCCTGCATTTCTAGCCATCTCTCCCTGGTAGACAGAAACCCAGCTGCTCAACAGCTAGATAGTATGTGGACACCTTTGTCTGTTCTGGTGCTCTGGGCTGGGAAGCCCAGTTTGAGGTTTAGACCCCAGAGTTCTCAGTGGGAATCCCCCACAGCTGAGATATCCCTCCAGACCTTTAGCTGCTGCCTGTGGGAGCCCATCCAGCCCTCTCGTGCCTCCACACTTTCTTTGTCTCTATGTGGTCTCCACTTTTCACCCTTGTTTATGAGGGTGATCTATAGCTAGTCTTCCATTATAGTTGATTATTCAGGGTAGTTTTTCTATATTTTAGTTTTATTTCCAGTTTGATCCCAGGCAAGTGTCAGTAGCTTCCACTCAATTTGCTGCCAGCTTGGAATCCCACCTTATTATTCATTTTTTTGATCTTTTGTTTCTCCTCCTTCTCCTCTTACTCCTCGTCCTCCCTCCTCTCTTCTTCTCCTGCTTCCCTCTTCCCTCCTATCTCCTCTTTTCTCTCCTCTTAAAAGAAGTCCCTTTAACATTTCATGTAGTATTGATTTGGTGGTAATGAACTCCTTTAGCTTTTTCTGTTTGGGAAGCTCTTTATCTGACCTTCAGTTCTAAATGATAGCCTTGCTGGTTGTAGTAATCTTGGTTGTAGGTCCTTACTTTTCATCACTTTGAATATTTCTTGCCACTCCCTTCTAGCCTTCTGTTGAGAAATCAGCTGACAGTCTTATGGGTGCTCCCTTATAGGTAACTAATTGCTTTTCTCTTGCTGCTTTTAAGATTCTCTCTTTGTCTTTAACCTTTGGCATTTTAATTATGGTGTGTCTTGGTGTGGGCCTCTTTGGGTTCCTCTTGTTTGGGATTCTCTGCACTTCTTGAACTTGTATGTCTGTTTCTTTCACCAGCTAGGGGAAGTTTCCTGTCATCATTTTTTCAAATAGGTTTTCGATTTCCTGCTCCTTCTCTTCTCCCTCTGATATTCCTATTATTTGAATGTTGGTATGCTTGAAGTTGTCCCAAAGGCTTCTTACACTATCTTCATTTTTTTGGATTTTTTTTTCTTTTTGCTGTTCTGATGAGGTGTTTTTTGCTTTCTCATATTCTAAATTGCTGATTTGATTCTTGGCATCCTCTACTCTACTGCTGATTCCCTGTAAATTATTTTTCATTTCAGTTAGTGTATCTTTCATTTCTGAGTGGTCCTTTTTTATGTCATTGATGTTCTCACTAAGATCCTTGAAGATCTCACTAAGTTCCTTGGGCATCCTTATAACTATTGTTTTGAACTCTGTATCTGGTAGTTTGCTTGCTTCCATTTCATTTTGTTCTTTTTCTGGAGATTTCTTCTCTTGTTTCATTTGCAACATGTTTCTTTGTCTCCACGTTTTGGCCGCTTCACTGTATTTGTTTCTATGTATTTGGTAGAGCTTCTATGTCTCCTGGAATTGGTAGGTAGCCTTGTGTAACAGGTATCCTTTAGAGCCAGGTGGCACAGCCTCCCCAGTCATCTGAGCTGGGCACTCTAGGTATACCCCTAATTGGGCTGTGTGCACTGTCCTGTTGTAGTTGAGCCTTGATTGCTGTTGGTCTCATTGGGAGGAATTGACCCCCAGGCCAGTCAGCTGTGCAGACCAGATGTGATTACAACAGAAGAGCTGCTGTGCAGGAGACACCCCTGTGGAGCAGGACTTGCTTCAGTGCGGCTTTGATACTCATCAAGTCTGAAGATGACCACCAGGTGCCTCCTGGGAGGTACACAGTCAGATACGGCTTATGCCTTGTTTAGGGCCACCTGGCACAAGCTACAGAGCAATCTGTAGGTGGTTGTTACTTGTCTTGAACTCAGAGGGTCTGGGAGAGGCCAATCTGTGAACCAAGGTTGGCTGCTGCTAGTGCCAGGCCTAGGACCACTTAGCAAGAGGTATGGGGCACACTGAAACCAGCTGCTGCTTGTCTGAGAGGTTTTAGGAAAATCTGAAGCCTGAGCCAGGACAGGCCATTCATATGGAAAAGCTATTGCAAACAGTCTGGGTGGGGTGTGGTTTCAGGGAATCATCAGGGCAGGGTGAGCAGTGTGGGCCAGGTTGATGGAGACTCAGATATGGCGACTACCTGTCAGCACTGTAGTGGGACAGTCTCAGCAAAGGAACAAAGACCTCTGCCAGCTTTGTTTGGGAGAAAGCTGCCCCCTAGTTCCTGCTCTGATGCCAGACAATTTAGTTTCTCCCGTATGTCCCTAGATCCTTTCAAGCTGCTGCCCCAGCACTGGAGCTCAGAGGGAGTGAATCTGAGTAAGTCCATGTGTGGGCCCTTTAAGAATAGCTACCTGGGACTCTCACAGCTTCTGTGTCACTCAGCCACAATCCCTGCTGTTTTTTTGTTTTTTTAAATATATCTTTATGATTTCAGAGAAAGGAAGCGGGGAAGAGAGAGAAACATCAATGATGAGAGAGTCATTGAGCAGCTGCCTCCTGCATTCCCCCTGCTAGGGATCGAGCCCACAACCTGGGCATGTACCCTGACAGGATATCAAACCTTGATCTCCTGGATCATAGGTCGATGTTCAACCACTGAACTATGCCAGCTGGGCTCCCCACTGGTTTTAATAGCCAGAAATTATGTGGACTTCTCTTCCTGGCACTGGAACCCTAAGCTGAGGGGTCTGGGGTGGGGCTGGGACCCCTTGTCCTCATGAGGGGCCTCCATGGCCAGGGTGTCCCTCTCTATTAACCCTTTGCGGTCATTTGTCTACTCTCAGCCACAAAAACTTTTTTACCATTCTGGTCGTATGTCTACTCTCAGCCACCAAAGCTTTTTTACTGTTCCAGTCGTATGTCTACTCTCAGCCACCAAAGCTTTTTTACTGTTCCGGTCATATGTCTGCTCTCAGCCACCACAGCAAGGAACCGTACGAATCTTAACTCTATTCATTCATGTATCAGTTCATAATTTCTCTGAAAGCTCTTAATTCCGACCAGTACGACACCCATGTCCAAATTTAATACGACCACAAAGGGTTAAAAAACGCCACAGGTGAGTGTTGGACCGTTGCGTTCCACACCTCTGCCCCTCCTACCAGTCTCAATGTGGCTTCTTTAATTCTCTAGTTGTAAGACTTTCATTCAGCCATATTTCAGGACGTTCTGAGTGATGGTTGTTTCGTGGTTTAGTTGTAATTTTGTTGTGGTTGTGGGAAGATGCGAGTGTTGCCTTTACCTTTGCTGCCATCTTGGCCCTCCTCCCTCTATAACGTTAATCTCATCAGAAATTGTATCCCCAAGATCCCAAAGAACCATCTTGTAAACAAAAATTTAAAAACAAACCTTTACAAAAGTTGGAACTGTTCACATAATAGCTGCACAAAATTTTCATATATCTATATAAATCCTGAGCAAATTTCAAATGTAATTTATTGTCCCTTTGGAAGTTGTCATCTCTTAATTTTTTCAAAGCTATTTTTTTCATTTGTCATTAGTGACGCAGATCTTCCACCTGAAAAGATCCAACAAAGATAATAGATCTGACCAGAATAAGAGAAATAGTTAAGACATATAGATCATCCACTATAGAGACCTGGTGCGAAACCTCCACTGTTTGGTGCCTGTTATCTTAGTATTAGATACTTCAAAAGATACACTTTGGAAACTGTACTGTTTTCTTAACGCTACATTTTAAATATTATCTTTGTAAGAATATTAAACCCTTCTAGTGATATAAACCTTTCAGCCTTATAATTCAGCCTTTTCTCCATTACTTAAGAGGTAGCCAGTTACCTTTGCTTCAGCAGTTTGTTTTAGTGTTGATTTTACTTCTGGTACTATTTTGTAGCTTTGGTTCACATTCCAGGGTAGTAGGAAATTAGTTTTAAATTGCTGGGCAACAACCACAACAAAAACTGTCTAATCACTGTTTCAAGATAGTTTGGAAAAATGTAGTTTTACAATTCCTAAAAAGAGAGAAATAAGCCAGTAGAGAGGTGCCACCATGTCGGGGCTATTTATATGTATGGTGGCATCTCCCTTCTGTAGACAGATCAGAATAGTGAAAGCTGTGTGAGGGCAGGGATCATGTCTCATTTGCTCACTGTCATATCCTCAGTGCCTGTCATCATAGATGCTCAATAGCAAATTTTTATTTTTAAAAGACAATTCACTGTACACACTTTATTTACAGTTTTGTACACTGTCTTAATATGAATGGGACTGCTTTTCTACTTGAGCCTTTTTTTTAAATCAGACTCAATAGTGAGTTTTTAAAGTGTTGAATGAATGAGGAACATGAACTGCAGGCCTCTGCCAGAGAAAAATCAGGAAGGAGCCATCCTTACAAAGGAATTGGTTGCCAGAGTGCTCTCTCCCTGCTGCTGGTCCCTTGTGAGTGACACCTATTCCACCTACTATCACAATGGTCAGCAAAAGCACAGACTATAGCTAGCTTGGGCTGATGGTGATAATGACCTCCTTAGTATGCAGAGTATTTTACTTCATAGTGCCTAAATGGGTTAGCATAAATAAATAGAGATGTCAACTTTCAGATGTTAAGTTTAGGAATAAAATAGCAAAAAACAGGTGAGATGTATTACTAGGTGGCTAAAACTTGGTAATCACCAATCAGGCTAATGCTTTGGTTCTTTGACTTTAAAAACTTTATTTGTCGCCCAGCCGGGCATGGCTCAGCGGTTGAGCGTTGACGTAGGATCCAGGCAATCGGGGTTCGATTACTGGTTAGGGCACATGCCTGGGTTGCGGNATCCAGGCAATCGGGGTTCGATTACTGGTTAGGGCACATGCCTGGGTTGCAGGCTCAATCCCCAGTAGGGGGCTTGCAGGAGGCAGCCGATCAATGACTCTCATCATTGATGTTTCTATATCTCTTTCTCTCCCTCTCTTTTCCTCTCTCTGAAATCAATAAAGATATATTTAAAAAAACAAACAAACTTCATTTGTCTCTCAGGCTTTATGCATATCACATTAGGAGCCAGTAATGTGAGCCTTTACATACTTTCCCTTTTTCTTTTTTCTCTTTAAGCAGACTCCAGTAGAGTCAGGATCGCTTTGGAAAAAGAAGCAAGCACAGTGGTAAGTGCTTTAAAATTAAATGTATGAAACAACCATTTCCTGGATACCTGGTACCGTTAGGTGCCGTGGGATATTTGGAAGACTGTGACTGGTCCCTCCAATTTAATAGTTTGTCAATTTTGGGTATGTGAAGTAATTGGTAGCTATTATCCTGTACTGCCAGCTGAGCCACTTTGGATCACTATTTATTTTGTTTTTTCATTTTTAATTATTGATAACAAGTGGTTTCAATATAGATGTGAGAGAACTTTGTCCAACTTTCAGTCATGAAATTCTTGTTTTTAGCCTGGCTTTTAGTTTGTGTTTTATTGTGGTAAAATATATATAACCTAAGATTTACCATTTTAGCCACTTTTATGAATACAATTCACTGGGATTAATTACATTTACAGAATTGTGTTTAACTATAAGCACTGTCAGTTTCCAGTACTTTTTCATCATCCCAAACAGAAACTTTGTGCCTATTAAACAATAACTCCCCATTCCTTCCCCACGCCCATTCCCACCCAGTACCTGGGAGCCTCTATTCTGCTTTCTGTCTCTATGACATAATTTGCATATTCTAGATATTTCATGTAAGTGGAATCATAAAATATTTATCCTTTTATGTCTGGCTTTTGCTTAGCATAATATTTTTAATGTTCATACTTGTTACAGCATGTATCAGAATTTCTTTTTTATTTAGATCACTATTTTGATACTGACATTTTTCTATTCAAAAACTTTTAGTACCTCCCTATTGTCCCATGAATCAAGTCAACATTTTTTAGCCTGGCATTCAAAGTCCTGTTTGTCTTATTTATTCCTAGGCAGCTTAAGCTGCAATAAAGTCATGCATAGTTACAGCTGACCCACTTCCTAGTGTTGTCACAACTCTCAGTAAATCGTATCCTACTGATATTTTTCCTTCTTCAGCATTTTTTTAAAAATATATCTTTATTGATTTCGGAGAGAGGAAAGGACAGGGAGAGAGAGACAGAAACATCAATGATGAGAGAGTCATTGATCGAGCCCGCAAACCCAGGCATGTGCCCTGACTGGGAATCGAACCCCGATTGCCTGGATCCTAGGTCGACACTCAACCGCTGAGCCATGCCGGCTGGGCCTTCTTCAGCATTTTAATCAATCTTTTAACTCAAAAAGGAAAAGATGTACTGACAACAAATTATTCTATTTATGGATTGTGCTAGTAATTAAACTTGTAAATTTTTTTGAATGAACTTTATATTGTAAATAATAACAACATCCCACCATTATGTTGCTACAAATGGAATATATCTTGCCTCTGTACTTTTTTTTTCTTTGCATGGTAGTACCTTTATTTTTTTCCAGCTGTATTGAGGCATAATTTACATGCAATAAAATTTACTTATTTTTTGCATTCAGTTTGATGAATTTTGGTAATTTTATACAGTCATATAACAACCACCACAATCAAGGTAAAGAAATGCCATGTCCCTAAAATATTTTCTTGTCACCCTTTGTAGATGATCCTGGCTCTTCCCAGGCAGCCACCATTGTGATTATAAAACCACCTAGAATAGGCATAAGTCAACATATTTTCATAAAATGAAAAGGGTACAATATGTAAAAAGAATGGAGAAAGAGCCATAAAGTAAGTCAAGTAACAGAAGAATTGAGGGAGAAAGAGAGTCCCAGGCAGGCCCACAAGGTTCGATTGGCACGTAGGTGGAGCTGAGTGGCGCTGGGCCAGGAGTGGTGGCAGACGCTGCTGTCTGTTGGACAGTGACTCTCAGTTGATATGGATGATGGGAGTCCTCCGGCCACTTTTAAAAACTGCTCATCGCAACCACCTCACCAAGATTTTGAAGTCCTTGTCTGTGTGAGGGATCTTTGAAATCATGCTCCCTATATGTGTGGGAAGAGAAGTTTGAGAACCACTATTTAGAAATAAGAAAACAAGGTGCCAGCTACAGGCTACTGTTTAATTTATTGACTCATTCAGCAAATAATTGAGAACCTATATGATGGAGACTGTCAAGGCACTGGATATGTATTCCTTCTAAAAATACATACAGATTTAAAGACTAGTGTGTTGCTATACTTCATGAAATCAATAGCTTAGATAATTTGGAAAAATACTGAATTAAGTGGGAATATTTTGGCCATATATAGCAATTATATAAAACATCTCATTTTGATATTTCTAGCATGTAAAGCCCAGTATAGCAAACCATATTAAAAATTTGTATTACTTAGTTCCTCTACAAAGACCTCTCAAGCCCTGCCTAGAGTGGCTGAGAGCATCATCCTGTGCACTGAAAGGTTGCCAGTTCCATTCCCAATCAGGGCACGTGCCCAGGTTGCGGGCTCAGTGCCTGGTTGGGGTGCTGTTTGGGAGTCAACCAATCGTTGTTTCCCTTTCATATTGATGTTTCTCTCTCCCTCCCTTCCTCTCTCTCTCAAAAAAAAAAAATCAATAAAAATATATTAAGAAAAGGACTTAAAAAAAAAAGACCTTTCAAATACCTGTCATTTTATATATCCTTTTCATATTTGCAGTGAATGCTGTTAACAGCTAATCATGTCTGATTTATTATACATATATGAATGTGTATTATTTTTAATATTCATATGTATGATGTATATGGCTATTAATATACACCTATGTATAGGGTTCTATAATTATTAATGTCCTTAACTCATTAATCTTTATTTAAAATTAATATAGCTGACTTTGTATAGTTGTTTATCTTTTTGTAGCAATTCAAGCATTGTTTAATCTGACTTTTTAATCTCTTTTAAAGCAAGGGGAAGAGCAAGGTAGAAAGTGTAGCCTCCCTGATTTAGAAAGCATTAATAAAAATTCAGTTGCAAGTGCACTGAGGAGCGTAAACAGAGAAGAGAAAGGTAAGTTATTCAAATTCTGATCATTGTATAAGTGGGGCTGGGAAATTTAGAAAGGGAGTACCAGTTTTCATATAACTAGGTCAATAGATGTTATAAGCAAGTGGACACATGCAGATTTTTGTTTGTTTATCCAATAATTTATTTCAGAAATGTCTTATTTACCCATGAAAAAGAGAGAGGATAGTATTTATTAATAAGAGCCTTTAGAAAAACTAATATTTTATGCCCTCCACCATAAAAAGCATGGCATTCAGTGTGTATCCAAGTCCTCTCAGGGCTTCAATCTCATACAGTGTATAATATGTAAATATATACATATTATTTTTTAAAATTCACCTTAATGATTTGTTTTGCCTTTTCGTCCAGATTTTTTTCATTTCCTTTACCACTTAGACATGAAGAACATGTTGTTAGATCTGAGTTTGAAAGAGGAAAAAAATATTTCTGTTTGTTGTTAGAGAAATATATGTCTAGATATAGATAAATAAAAAGAATATGCTCCACTAACCCTTTTTTACATTTTAAAACCAGGTGGTAAATCAGTCTGTCTGAGGAAAGCGAGTTCACCAAGTCCTCTCAGGCGACAGTGGGAGAAAAATATATGCACTACAGCACTTGCCGCTTTGGAAAATGCCTCCATACTCACCTCCAGTTCAACCGCAGAAGATGATAGAGGTTAGTAGTCAGAAAGTGTACTATTATTGTGGAACATTTTCTAATAGTTGTTTAATGGGCTAGAAATTTTTTTAAAATGTCACTCTGTAAAGGATATTTGGTGCCACACAGGTGAGTGAAATAGATTTTAGTAGAGAGTAAATATAATTAATTTTGCTTGAAATATGATCTGGAAGAGAATGTGCTGAAAATATTTTTTATTTGGCCCTAACTTTTATCTTTTCTCAACTAGGTGGTTCGGTAATAAAGTACAGTGGAAATAATACTCGTAAACAGTGGCTCAAAGAGACTCCTGAAACCTTGTTGAACATCCTTAAGAATGCTGATCTCAGCTTGGCATTTCAAACATACACAATATATAGACCAGGTGATTTATGTCTGTTACAGAAACATGGAAACCCTTTGGTACTTTTTTAATGGTGATAAAATATACATAACATAAATTTTACCATTTTGACCATTTTTCAAGTACAGTTCAGGGGCATTAAGTACATTTACATTGTTGTGCAGCTATCACCACCATCAATCTCCAGAACTTTTCCCATCTTCCAAAACTGAAACTCTGTATCCATTAAATAATAACTCCCCATTTTCCCCTCCCAGAAACCCTTTGATTTTCAAGTTATAAAATAACTCATAGCACTGTACTTTTAGGTTTTCTTGAATCTTTTCTAGATAGTCTTAAGCTATAATTAAAATTTCCCAGAGAGCTATATTACTCCTGTTTGCTCATTTTCATAATCATGTGACTACTTTCTTTGCAGAGTAGCTTGTTTTTTCTATGCAGGTATACTGGTGACTTTACAGTTCAGGCTTCATCACAGTAAAAACTGTAATCTGATTATCCAAAGATAACTTTTAATGCTTTAATATAAGTTCTTATATTTGAGGGTTTTAATTATATTCTGAACTTTTTCTTTTGAAGAAAGTGGTATTTAAAATAATTTTTATTTATAGATAGAGAGAGAAAGAAACATCAGTTTGTTGTTCCACTTATTTATGCATTCATTGGTTGATTCATGTACGCACCCTGACTGGGGATCGAACCTGCAACCTTGTTGTATTGGGATGATACTCTAACTAATTCAGCTACCCAGCCAGTGCCAAGAAAGTAGCATTTTTTAAATTTAATACTCATACTGATGCTTAGTGGGCCTGTTTTATGCCAGAAATCAGGCTGGGTAATGTGGGGAGGTACTGCAGAAGAAATATAGAATATGGCATTGTCTTCAATTAGCCAACAAGCTTTTGGAGGATTTTAGTCCAACATGCAAGAAATAAGTAAATACTGTTTAAATTCGCATGATTTCTGTTAATATTCCTCTGAAGGTTCAGAAGGGTTCTCCTTGAAAGGTCCCCTGTCTGAAGAAACAGAAGCATCAGACAGTGTTGATGGAGGTTATGATTCTGTCATTTTGGATCCAGAGAGACTCGAGCCTGGACTGGATGAGGAGGACACGTACGTTTATGATATACCTAGGAGGCTTTAGTTGTGGGGGGTGTGTGTAATTTAAATTATACCTTAATGATGTCAGGTTTAACAGGAGCTGGTTATATTATTTTACACCATAAATGAATATGTATATAACTTGAACTTTTGTCCAAGGTGGGCAATGTGTCATGGTAATTACTGAATTCCTGACTGAGCCTTATGTTTAAAATTGTTCAGCTTGGACTTACTATTAATTAATATATTAGATTTCATATTGAAAATATTATAGAAAGATGAATGTCAGAGGGGTGGAGGAGGGCGGGTGGGTGGAGGGGGAGAGAGTAACCAAAGAATTTATGTGCATATATACACAACCCAAGGACATGGACAATGGTGGGGAGAGGGACTGGGGAGGGGAAAGGAACGGGGTGGAGTGGGTCATTAGGGAGAAAAAAGGACATCTGTAATCTTTTAAGCAATAATAAAATTTTAAAAAAAGAAAGAAAATATTATAGAAAGAGTGAAAACAGTGTTCTTTTGGAAGAAGTAACAATTTTTTTTTCTGTTCAGTTGCCTTATGGAGCTCATTTTTTAAAAATGTAAATATTGTTATGGTATTGATCTGCTTTGAGCCCATCAACAATTGCTTAGCGTGCCTCTAATTTGGAGGCTTAATATCTGTATCATTTTTTCACAGGGACTTTGAGGAAGAAGACAACAACTTTGACTGGGTGTCAGAACTGAAGCAGCGAGCTGGCTGGCAAGGAGTATCTGATGGCTAATGCCCAAGGAAAGGTTCTTTAGTCACACTGAGTAGATGTTTAAAGTGAGGAATTAATATTTGGATAATGCTAGTTAATGGAATGTATATTTTCCCTTGGAAACAGAATAGGGCCCGGGGGCTGGGGGTTGTGAATATTTAAAATTGTTCCTGATTAGTTTAAAAAATCTACAACTCCTGTGAGTTTTTGAACTCAAAGGAGACGGTGTAGAATAATGGGTGTGAGCTTCGGGCTTTGCAGTCAGATAGAACAGAAATTGGATGCTCACTGTTTGTGTGATTGTGTGAAATTACTTAACCTCTTTGGCCCAAATTTCCTCAACAATAACATGAGGAAAATAATGCCTGTCTCATAGGGATGCTAATCATGGAGCGTGAGAGCAGCCCATAATGTTATTTGCATTGTTATGATTTTTGTTTATTACTATGTAACTCTACATTTCCTAAAGATTTGAGGATCTAAATATATTTAATTATAACATAATAATGTGTGCAGTTTTTCAGTAAGACCTGTCTGGGTAGTGGTTAATGATCTTGAGTGATCTTTACTACCAGCTATCCTTAAATACAGCCCCTCACAGGACACACAAAAGAGCCCAGGTCAGAGGATCCACCCTAGGAAGAGTAGGGTAGGCTACATATCTTGTCAGAAGTTGTCAGTCCTGTACATGAGGAAGGAATGGGGCCCATGGTGAGAAATCAATATGGAAAGTATCAGAAATTAGAATGTTGTGGAACTAATGGAGGGGGCAAGATCCCAACATATATGGGTCACCATGACACACTGTGCTGGGGCCTGTCATTAAATATGTGATCTGTTAGTAAGGTGAGAATATTTTACTAAAAAAGAAACAGCCTCAACCCAGGGGACCCCTTAGGGGCAAGTGTGGGAACAGCATAAGCCTGACCTGGTACAGGGAACAATGCTGAAGTGAAGAATAGGAGGGAGACAGTTGTGGAACTGCAGTAGGATCATTAATGAGAATCTGCTGAAATATGAACTACATACACCTTTTAAAGATTTAAACATTTTTGCCCTTGCCATTGTGGCTTAGTGGATTGAGCATCGCCCGTATCCTGAGGTTTGATTCCCAGTCAGGGCACATGCCCAGGTTGTGGGATCAAAGCCTAGTGGTGTGCAGGAGGCGGCTGATTGATGTTTTCCTCTCACATCGATGTTTTCCTCTCTCTCCCCCTCTTCTTCTATCTCTCTCTAAAATCAATAAAAACTTTTCTTTTTTTAAGATTTAAACATGTTTTTATCTTAACATACAAAAACTGGTATGGAACTTTACCCACCCCACAGTTTATTTATATATTTCAACATTTTGTCAGCCTTAGCCTCCTCTGGTCTCTGACAGTGTCTCCGTCTTTCCTTATTTTTCAGGACCTTGAGGTCCTGAGGAGTACTGGTTAGGTATTTTGTAGAATGTTCCTAAGTTTGGGTTTGTCTGTTTTTCTCATAATGAGACTGAGCTTAAGGGTTTGGGGGAAGAATACCGCAGAAGTAAAGTGCTTTTCCCACCACATCGTATCAGGGAGAGTGTGATCTCAATATTCTTCTGTTGCTTCTATTGTTAACCTACATTACTTGGTTAAGGCAGTGTCTGCCAGGTTCTCCACTGAAAAGTTACTAATTTTCCCGTTCCACGCTCTTTTCACTCTAAACCAGTCGCTACATCTAGCCCATACTCAAGTGGAGGGAAATTAAGCTCCTGAGTGGGGGGATATAACCCAGTAAGTCGTTTCGCTGCTTAAATTGTTCTAGCGTTGGCCATTGGGAGTTGTTTCAGGTTGACTCCTTTGTCCCTTTGATATGCCCTTATCTTTTTGTATTTTGAGCACCTCCTTCCTTCCTGGCACTACAAGAAGATGGTCTGGACTCATCTTGTACCTTCACTACACCAGCCCCAGAATCAGCTGTTTTCCGAGTCCTGGTCCTTTCATTGGTTTAGAAACCGAGATCTGGGTGCTGAGTGTGCTTGTTGCTACAGGGATGTCATTGCTTCTAGGCCCTCTCAGCAGAAAGAACTAGGAAGCATGTGTATGTTATACTATCATGTATATATATTCACATCTCTAGTCATTTTTGTATCTGTACGCATATTAAGCTAAGCTTCGGTTCGTACTGATACCATGACTGTAATCCAGTACCACAGGGTTCATTCTAGCCTTCCCCCCTTGCTTTTCTGTAGCTTCTGTCTCTACAGCAGGAAACCTGGCTTGTACCATCCACCATCCACTTAGTTGTTCAACATCAGTATACATGTAAAGCAGTTTCCAAATTAGTAACCCATACTCTTGTGAGGAACAAATTTATCAACTAGAATAGATTTTATGTATTGTTCTTATTGTCTTTAATCTTATAATTCCAGTCAAAACACTATTTTTCAAAGTTACTTAGGTTAGTTCCCCCCCCCCCCCCATTCTTGAAGACTTTAAGAGTTAAGTTTGGCAAGGATAGTTTTAAGGATATTTGCAGATGCTCAGCTTCTGTAAGTACTATATCTATACCTCTTAGTCATCTCAAATCGTAGTATTACCCTGATGTGTAAACATTCCCAAACCATCAAACAAAGGGAACTTGAAATTATGTATTGTTATTGAGAGACTGCATGAACCTTAATTGAATGATAAATCCTTTTCAAAGTCAGATGGTTTGCAAGGTTTTGTTTTTAATAAAATTTCAAGAGTCTCAATGGTCAGAAACCATTTTTAATGATAGGTTACTATTGGATTCTTGACATACAACTAGGCAAGAATTGAGGGACTCTTAACAAAACTTCCAATTCCATTTACTTGTATGGATATGGTTTATCAGCACTTACAGCTTTAAAAAGAGAGAGAAAAAGAAAAACAAGAGAATCAATGTTAAACCTTGTCTAGTCCAGCAAAAAGTTAGTATTTTTCTACAGATCCTAACTGAGCTAATTGGGAGGGAGGAAGAAGAAAGTCCCTTCATGTCTTTAAGAGATGAGTTTCTGATACAATTTTACTTTTTATAATGAATAAGTATCAGTGTAATTTATTTTATTTTTACCAATTGTGTACTACTAGAATTTTAATAATCTAATAAAAAGCCTATGATCAGGAAAAAAATTAATTTCCTTTTTTATGATAGAGTGATCAATAAGACTTTGAAGCATGGAAAACATTACATATGGAGGAGATATGATTTCAAGGAAAAGAATACTATAAGCTTTCTCATTCTTAAAGAAGAACTTAATTTTTTAATTACTTGGGAAATTTTTAATTAATAGGCATCAGATGACTCTAGCCGGTTTTGCTCAGTGGTTAGAGCATAGGCCGGCTGACTGAAGGGTCCTGGGTTCAATTCTGACATGTACCTTGGTTTCAGGCTCAATCCCCTCGCTCCACTTGGGGCGAGTGCGGGAGGCAACCGTTCGATCTCTCTCTCTCTCTCTCCCCCCCCCACATCCTCCCCTTTCACTCTTTCTGAAAAACAATGGAAAAAGTATCCTAGGGTGAAGATTAAAAAAAAAAAGTATCAAATGTACTTTATATTAATACTGTAACGGTGACATTTTAGATCTTTTTCTCTAAAAAGGTTAATGATTTTCTTTTTTCTGGGAAACAGACCCAACTATGAGCATTAATGTGGTCAGTCTAGGTCACTATGGTTTACCTAATGCTAATATTGAAATAGGTGTTCACATTTCATGTCTAAGATAAGGCAGACTGTGAACATCTGTATCACTGAATTTTAGCAAAAATTCCATGAGATAATTTAAAGGGATGTCAGATTTTTTTATTTTTTAATCCTCATCTGAGGATATTTTTTCCATTGCTTTTCAGAGAGAGTGAAGGGAGAGAGAGAGTCATCGATGTGAGAGAGACATTGATTGGTTGCTTCCCACACAGGGATCAAACCTGCAACTGAGGTACATGCCCTTGACTGGAATTGTACCGGAGACCCTTCAGTCTGGGGCCGATGCTCTAACCACTGAGCCAAAATGGCCAGGGCAAGGATGTCAGATTTTTGATGTGTAAATTCATAACCTACATTGGGATCACTTTTTGACTTGAAGTGCATCTGATTTGAGAATACAGGAGGTTTTCTTTCCTAATTCCTTGGAAAAATATTTCTGCAATAAGTCTTGTGTCTTCTTTATTATGACTGGGTTGTTTTTAAGAAAGATTATCAGCCTGACTGGTGTGGCTCAGTTGGTTGAGTCATCCCATGCATCAGGAGGTCATTAGTTCAATTCCTGGTCAGGGCACATGCCCGGATTTGGGGCTCGAAACCCACTAGGCAGCGTGCAAGAGGTGGCCGAATGTTTCTAGCTTTCCCTCTCCCTTCCTCTCTCTGAAATCAATAAAAACATATATATATATATATATATATATATATTTTTTTT